GTGCTGCCCTGTGCCCACCCCAGGGTCTCCATCCAGTGGCCTTCATCTCATGTCCACCAAAGAGCCTCCACACAGTTATGTCCACCCTGACAGATTCCACCCCGATGGTCTCTGCCTCACACACACCCCAGGATATCCATTCTGGTGGCCTTCACCCTGTGCCCATCCCAGCAACATCCACCCAATGGCCTCTGTCCCATGTTCACCCCAATCATCTCCTGTCTCAGACCTACCCCAAGACTCCCATCCTGATGGCCTTCACCCCTGTCCACCATGATCACCTCCACCGTGACGGTCACCACTCTGATGCCCCAATCCCTCATGCCAACCCCAACAGCCTTAAGCCAGGTAGCTCCTACCATACACCCACCCCAACATCATGCCCCTTGATCTCTTCACCTCAACAGCCTCTAGCCCTTGCCCACCCTGACAGCCTCCATCCCACACCCAACCCAACAACCTCCATCCCAATGTCCCCCACTCCAGACCAGAGCTTACCCGAAGTGCCAGACTGAGCCATGATGCTCCTGCCGGGACCAGCGGTGTCCTGGCTCCCCAAGGGGGCTGGGGAGGCAGAACCCCGGAGCAGGGAGGCCAGGGGGTTGAAGGAGAGGCAGAGGAAGACGAAGGCGCAGAGCGCCATGCGGGAGCGGTCCAGCATTCCCTGGCTGCTGGGCGAGGGTGGTGGCTGCTCCTGCTTCACCTGCACGGGCAGAGCTGCTGTGAGCCTGGGACACGAGCATGGATGTGGGGTGGGGGACACAGGTATGGGATAGAGGGCATGGGATATAGGGCACAGCATCCAGAGCATGGGGTACATGGCATGGAATACAGGGTGTAGTGATGGGGGATAGGCATGGGACATAGGCAATGGGATATAGGGCATGGGATATAGGGCAGGGTGATTAGGCACAGGCTGGAATACAGGGGCATGGATTTCAGCGTATAGGCATGGAGCACAGAGCACATTTTAAAGTAGAACAAACTCCACCTAGCCCCAAATGATGTGAGGAGCAGCCTCAGAGAACAAGACCAGGGCTCTCAGCTCTTTCCCCATCTGGCACACTTTGCCCTGGGCACCTCCTACGTGAAGCAGCAGATCCTCTGCCCCACTCAGGGCAGGGAGATCCCCCCAGCCCTCCCTCACCTTGCCATGGGCACAGAGGGGGCTCTCAGGCTCTGAGTCGCTGCTGCTGTTGCTGCTGCCCCCACTGAGTGAGAGTGGGCTGCTGTGGGATGGCGAGCCCACGTCTGAGGGCGGCGGTGTCAGCATCTCCATCACCTCTGCCTTCACCACCTCCATGGGGGCCTCCGCCTTGGCCCCCCGGCTGCTGTGGGTCCCCAGGTCCTTCACAGGCTCTGCAAGAAGCAGAGAAAGCTGATGGCTGCCTGGGGGCATGGAGCCAAGCCCCCCACCACTACAGCTGCCCTTCCACTCACGGTTCTTCTGCATGGCCATCTTCAGGGCGAGGTTCTCCTGCTTCAGCTTCTGGTTGCTCTGCTGCAGGAAGCGGATGTACTCGATTGCCTTCCTCAGGATCGCTGACTTGTTGAGCTGCCAGTGACCATAACAGTTCAACCCAAATTCCAGCCAAACCCTCCCCATTACCCAGCCCTGCCCCACCAAGCCCTGCTCCCACCTTGGCCTCGGTGCCCACCACCAGGTCCTTGAGCTCCACGATCTTNGGGGGGCTGCCCAGCTCCAGGCTCTCCCGCAGGCAGCTGCTGGCCTTCTCACAGTGGCCCAAGGTGGTCTGGCTCCCGTCCTGTTTGCTCAGCAAGGCACGGACAGCTCGGAAAGAGTGCAGGGCAGCACGGGGAAGGGGCTTCCTGCAAGGTGGAGGGGGCGTGGTGAGCTCCTTCCTCAACACACACCAGGTGCTCCAAGTGTGTTCAGCGAGGCCGTGCCAGTCCAATGGGGATGGGAGACATGCAATGAAGTGCCACCCCTGTCCCCAGTGTCCCCAGCACTCACTCAGAGCTCTGCAGTGCCCGGGGCATGGTCTCCACCAGCGGGTAGAGGCGCTCAGCCCCTTCCTCATCTCCCTGCAGCCAGTGGATAACGATGCCGATGAAGGACGCCCACCACTTGGACACGGGGTCGGTGCCTGCAGGGTGGGAGAGACACAGGAGCAGGGTGTTTCCACTCCCATGGCCCCTCACATGAAGTGACCCCAGTGGGGGACACGCCAGCCTCACCTGTGACAGCCGCCAAGCCGGAGGCGATGGAGGGTGTGGGGCCAGGTGTGCCACTGACATCCGAGCAGCCGTTGAGCAGCTGGAGGTACTCGAGGGCATCGGAGAAGCGCCTGTGAAAGGGGCTGTGAGGGGGCTGCCCCCATGGCAGGCAGGGGGAGGAGGTGCCCAGCCCAGCACTCACCCCTCTCCCTGGGCAGTGGGACGGCCGGGCTCAGGCATGGCCACGCAGCACAGCGCCTTCTCCAGGAGGTGCTCACGGAACAGCTGGGTCACCTGGGCCAGCGGGTCCACTGGGGCACAGAGATGGGGTCAGCAGGTACACCACACCCCAAAACAGGGGGTGCGGGGGGTTTGGGAGCTTGGGGTCACCTGGGTTGCCGGCAGAGCTGTAGATGGTTTCCCTGGGGACACCTTTGACCGCCCAGTCCCCATCAACAAAGAAGCGATGGCCCAAGGGGTGGCAGAGCCACTGCATGGCAGGGGGCACGGCCCCACCATGGGACAGGGCCACACGCCGGGCGCTGCAGAGGAAGGGGCGCTGTGGGGAGAGCAAGGGGTCAGGAAGGACCTGAGATTCCAGTCCCAGGGGACACAGGGGACACCCCAGTGCCCCACACTCACCGCCAGGAAGTGGAAGCAGCGGTGCAGGCTGGCCTTGATGCGCAGGGCAGCCGCCACATAGATCTCAGCCAGCGCTGCCACAGAGATGGCGTCACCAGCACACTCAGCCAGGTTGACAGCGCTCAATGCCAGGTTGATGGCCAGCAGATGTCCCCCAGCCTGCTTCCCTATAGGAATGGGGACAGGAGGCTCAGCCACGGAGTCAGGGGGTTGTGGGGACACGCACACAGATCTTGTCCCTCAGCCCCAGG